ATAGTCACTCATTGCCATTCAGGTCAAGTAGGGAGTGTTAAAGTGACAGGGAGTGAACATATTTAGATTTTGTTTTAGTTTTTCTTTTAATAAATTAATTAGTTAATAATTTGCATTTTTATTGTTTCCATTTGGTTATGTGTATACTTGTCATGGTCACGTGGTCCACACGAGGCAGAGTTGAATTGGGCGCCGATTCTAACACCAAATCGGAAGTCATCTTTACCGTGTAATTTATTCCACACTCAAGGTCATCGGTTATAGTGGGGATCAAGCCCCAAGGTTGATTAATTAGCATGATCGATCCAGACCTCGATCATTGCTCAGTGTTACTGGTCTGGTAGTGCGGCGGAGGTGACTCTAGGGTTTTGCTCAAAGCCTAGGTCACGTCATACTGGTTGTAGAATCCTAAGTCGGTCAATCGTCTTAGGACCACGTGGCGTGGAGTTGGCTTTGGTAAAAGTTTTGGAGTCCCTTGTAGAGAATAAAAAGTAAGAATACGGGTAGAGGGGGAAAAGAAGAAGGGAAGATAGGTAGAGGAACCCCTACCCGTGTTACACTAACACCATGTGTGTGGTCTCTAGCACCATGTGTGTGGTCTCCAGCACCATGTGTGTGGTCACTAGCACCGTGTGTGGTCTCTAGCACCATGTGTGTGGTCTCTAGCACCGTGTGTGTGGTCTCTAGCACCGTGTGTGTGGTCTCTAGCACCATGTGTGTGGTGTATAGCACCGTGTGTGTGGTCTCTAGCACTGTGTGTGTGGTCTCTAACACCGTGTGTGTGGTCTCTAGCACCATGTGTGTGGTCTCTAGCACCGTGAGTGTGGTCTCTAGTACCGTGTGTGTGTGTGGTCTCTAGCACCGTGTGTGTGTTTGGTCTCTAGCACCGTGTGTGTGGTCTCTAGCACCGTGTGTGTGGTGTCTAGCACCGTGTGTGTGATCTCTAGCACCGTGTGTGTGGTGTCTAGCACCGTGTGTGTGGTCTCTAGCACCGTGTGTGTGTGTGGTCTCTAGCACCGTGTGTGTGTGTGGTCTATAGCACCGTGTGTGTGTGGTCTCTAGCACCGTGTGTGTGTGTGGTCTCTAGCACCATGTGTGTGGTCTCTAGCACCGTGTGTGTGGTCTCTAGCACCGTGTGTGTGGTCTCTAGCACCGTGTGTGTGGTCTCTAACACCATGTGTGTGGTCTCTAGCACCATGTGTGTGGTCTCTAGCACCATGTGTGTGGTCTCTAGCACCGTGTGTGTGGTCTCTAGCACCAAGTGTGTGGTCTCTAGCACCGTGTGTGTGGTCTCTAGCACCGTGTGTGTGGTCTCTAGCACCAAGTGTGTGGTCTCTAGCACCGTGTGTGTGGTCTCTAGCACCGTGTGTGTGGTCTTTAGCACCAAGTGTGTGGTCCCTAGCACCGTGTGTGTGGTCTCTAGCACCGTGTGTGTGGTCTCTAGCACCAAGTGTGTGGTCCCTAGCACCGTGTGTGTGGTCTCTAGCACCAAGTGTGTGGTCCCTAGCACGGTGTGTGTGGGATATTTGGGGCTTGAATGTGATTATTTAAATATTAATGTAGTAAATTAAATTACGAAGGACCACCCGCTTTTATAGTAAAGAGGGAAACTGAGAATTTCTGATCATTGGATAATTCCTAGATGAACCAGTAACTATGGATAAAATACTAGAGAATATGATCATAGAAATGATTAATGGGCTGTATAATTAAATGAATCAAACCCTCAAACACCTACATTGGGGGGATATTACTGGAGGTAAGTACGTCCAGGAATTAGTGTGGTTCGTTCACTAATTCAATTAATAATAATCTAATCCTATAAAATTATATTGAAACTGATATCATTACCATAAATGGGAACATAGATTATAAGTATAGTAATGAGAGTTACAGTAAACACATATTAATCCTGAGGAATTCTGCACATAAGAAATTGCAATAGAATCATGAAAGAATATAAAAATCTTAGCTTAATGATGATTCCTTTAGACAAGCCATGGAGTTTCCTCTAACTCTCTGGACTCGGTTGGCTGACGAAAGGGACGGATTAATATGGGAGAAGTCGGCAGGGAGAATTCTTCTCACGTGCTGCAAGACAAATATTTACAGTAGCAACTAATTTAACTACTGAATCTCTACATTCAAGAAATTGAGAGTTACAGGTGACAAAAATTAATCACCTGTTATTAGATGTTATCATGCGTCATAACGGTCAATCACCCAGCTACTACTAAACTCTTTACCAGATGCATCACATAAAGGGAATATACTTAGCTGAAAGGGCACTGTATAAGTTTTAAGATTGCCGTAATTCGCGTCCCCAGGCTCCGGCTAAGCCTATCCTGGATAGTGGCGCGCTTCACTGGCTGGTCACGTGTCGTCAAGAACCAGGTTAAAAGGTTCCTTATCTAACACCAGCACCAGCTGAAGATATTATCTGCAAGGTTATTCACGCCTCACAGTGGCGACTTTCATCTGAGGATGGATAACGTCTGCCCTAGTGGCTGGGCAATGGCGTCTCCTTGTGAGTACGGTATGCGCAGGTCTGCCTCAGAGGGGCTCTCCACGTGTACTGAGTTGGTCCTCCTCAACCCACGCCGCTTACCGCGTTCAAAAAACAAATTATGTCACGAACATTAATATTTCTCGCATTTACGCTTGAAACGTTGAAGACTGGACGGGTTTATTATTTAGAGGAGGAAATTATTATTATTTACCAATTTAAAAATAGTAAATATATAAGGGAGAGGAATTAATGTCTCCCCATGGCATTCACTGGTGACGTTAACTTTTATTACGAGATAATCACTATGACTCCAACGCTCTATTCGGCTTTTAGTTGGAGGTCAATTCATCTGCAATTAGTTATCATACAGAATGCCTTAGTTATAGAGAATCGAATTTAATTCTCACATACATTGGATATAATGTGTTTATTGTAAGGAAATCTGACGCAATACTGGCGTCAGGTGACGTGAGAATTCTAGCCTACTGCACAGATGAAATTATTAGTACATGAGAATTCTACGTGTTGTTAATTTTACTTACTACAATAATTAGTATAGTTAGTAATAAGTAATGAGAATACAACAGTGTTGTATTCGGTGTTGGAAATATCCAACAGTGTGTGTGGTACCAAGCACCGTGTGTGTGGTCTCTAGCACCATGTGTGTGGTCTCTAGCACCATGTGTGTGGTCTCTAGCACCGTGTGTGTGGTCTCTAGCACCATGTGTGTGGTCTCTAGCACCATGTGTGTGGTCTCTAGCACCATGTGTGTGGTCTCTAGCACCATGTGTGTGGTCTCTAGCACCGTGTGTGTGGTCTCTAGCACCATGTGTGTGGTCTCTAGCACCATGTGTGTGGTCTCTAGCACCGTGTGTGTGGTCTCTAGCACCAAGTGTGTGGTCTCTAGCACCGTGTGTGTGGTGTATAGCACCAAGTGTGTGTGGTCTCTAGCACCATGTGTGTGGTCTCTAGCAACGTGTGTGTGGTCTCTAGCACCATGTGTGTGTGGTCTCTAGTACCGTGTGTGTGGTCTATAGTACCGTGTGTGTGGTCTCTAGTACCGTGTGTGTGGTCTCTAGCACCAAGTGTGTGGTCTCTAGCACCATGTGTGTGGTCTCTAGCACCGTGTGTGTGGTCTCTAGCACCATGTGTGTGTGGTCTCTAGCACCGTGTGTGTGGTGTCTAGCACCGTGTGTATGGTCTCTAGTACCGTGTGTGTGGTCTATAGTACCGTGAGTGTGGTCTATAGTACCGTGTGTGTGGTCTCTAGCACCGTGTGTGTGGTCTATAGTACCGTGTGTGTGGTCTCTAGTACCGTGTGTGTGGTCTCTAGCACCGTGTGTGTGGTCTCTAGTACCATGTGTGTGGTCTATAGTACCGTGTGTGTGTCTCTAGTACCGTGTGTGTGGTCTATAGTACCGTGTGTGTGGTCTCTAACACCGTGTGTGTGTGGTCTCTAGCACCAGGTGTGTGGTCTCTAGCACCAAATGTGTGGTCTCTAGCACCGTGTGTGTGGTCTCTAGCACCGTGTGTGTGGTCTCTAGCACCGTGTGTGTGGTCTCTAGCACCGTGTGTGTGGTCTCTAGTACCATGTGTGTGGTCTATAGTACCGTGTGTGTGGTCTCTAACACCGTGTGTGTGTGGTCTCTAGCACCAGGTGTGTGGTCTCTAGCACCATGTGTGTGGTCTCTAGCACCGTGTGTGTGGTCTCTAGCACCATGTGTGTGGTCTCTAGCACCGTGTGTGTGGTCTCTAGCACCGTGTGTGTGGTCTCTAACACCATGTGTGGTCTCTAGTACCATGTGTGTGGTCTCTAGCACCGTGTGTGTGGTCTCTATCACCGTGTGTGTGGTCTCTAGCACCATGTGTGTGGTCTCTAGCACCATGTGTGTGGTCTCTAGCACCGTGTGTGTGGTCTCTAGCACCGTGTGTGTGGTCTCTAACACCATGTGTGGTCTCTAACACCATGTGTGGTCTCTAGCACCAAGTGTGTGGTCTCTAGCACCATGTGTGTGGTCTCTAGCACCAAGTGTGTGGTCTCTAGCACCATGTGTGTGGTCTCTAGCACAGTGTGTGTGGTCTCTAGCACCATGTGTGTGGTCTCTAGCACCGTGTGTGTGTGTGGTCTCTAGCACCGTGTGTGTGGGCTCTAGCACCGTGTGTGTGTGTGGTCTCTAGCACCAAGTGTGTGGTCTCTAGCACCATGTGTGTGGTCTGTAACACCGTGTGTGTGGTCTCTAACACCGTGTGTGTGTGGTCGCTAGCACCGTGTGTGTGGTCTCTAGCACCATGTGTGTGGTCTCTAACACCATGTGTGTGGTCTCTAACACCGTGTGTGTGGTCTCTAGCACCGTAAACTAAACATGAGCTATGGAACGCTCCTATACAAGACTCTTCACAAGAAAACACTCATCCCGCCTCTGATGACAAACAAACTCCCTACACACAAGTATACTAAATAAACAAATCAGTTCAGCACTGTTGTTACACTCTAATTTTGAACCAAAACAAGAACAAAATGTTTACATTTAATGTTTGTTGCAAGTGGGAACTGTTGTTTGGTAGTTGCAAGTGGGAACTGTTGTTTGGTAGTTGCAAGTGGGAACTGTTGTTTGGTTGTTGCAAGTGGGAACTGTTGTTTGGTAGTTGCAAGTGGGAACTGTTGTTTGGTAGTTGCAAGTGGGAACTGTTGTTTGGTAGTTGCAAGTGGGAACTGTTGTTTGGTTGTTGCAAGTGGGAACTGTTGTTTGGTAGTTGCAAGTGGGAACTGTTGTTTGGTAGTTGCAAGTGGGAACTGTTGTTTGGTTGTTGCAAGTGGGAACTGTTGTTTGGTAGTTGCAAGTGGGAACTGTTGTTTGGTTGTTGCAAGTGGGAACTGTTGTTTGGTAGTTGCAAGTGGGAACTGTTGTTTGGTAGTTGCAAGTGGGAACTGTTGTTTGGTTGTTGCAAGTGGGAACTGTTGTTTGGTAGTTGCAAGTGGGAACTGTTGTTTGGTAGTTGCAAGTGGGAACTGTTGTTTGGTAGTTGCAAGTGGGAACTGTTGTTTGGTAGTTGCAAGTGGGAACTGTTGTTTGGTTGTTGCAAGTGGGAACTGTTGTTTGGTAGTTGCAAGTGGCAACTGTTGTTTGGTAGTTGCAAGTGGCAACTGTTGTTTGGTAGTTGCAAGTGGCAACTGTTGTTTGGTAGTTGCAAGTGGGAACTGTTGTTTGGTAGTTGCAAGTGGCAACTGTTGTTTGGTAGTTGCAAGTGGGAACTGTTGTTTGGTAGTTGCAAGTGGCAACTGTTGTTTGGTAGTTGCAAGTGGGAACTGTTGTTTGGTAGTTGCAAGTGGGAACTGTTGTTTGGTAGTTGCAAGTGGGAACTGTTGTTTGGTAGTTGCAAGTGGGAACTGTTGTTTGGTAGTTGCAAGTGGGAACTGTTGTTTGGTAGTTGCAAGTGGGAACTGTTGTTTAGTTGTTGCAAGTGGGAACTGTTGTTTGGTAGTTGCAAGTGGCAACTGTTGTTTGGTAGTTGCAAGTGGCAACTGTTGTTTGGTAGTTGCAAGTGGCAACTGTTGTTTGGTAGTTGCAAGTGGGAACTGTTGTTGGCAAAAAACTGCATATTAGATATTTTATTTAATATTTTTGTTTCGAGTTGGAATAATTGTACATTTTCATTCTTCCTAAACTGGTGCAGTGTTCGCAGCTTCGTTATTCTTGGGTGTTGGTTGAGTCATTCTCGGGTCGCAGGGTAATCATTAGCGAGTGGAAGATAATCATTCCAATTCAAAGACATTATTCATAAATGTTTGTAGATTCATTCGCAGATCGCGTCCTAATCGTCAACCGACAGCACTCTAATAATTCGCGAATCCCTAATTACACAATCCAACATATAAAATCGTTCCCGTCCAATGTCGTATATATAGCACTGAATTGTTCAGAATAATGCAACTCTTGAACACAGAGTAGTGGGAAAAGTGACAGGAATAGCCCTGTTTATCTCTCTCCCCCAAACAGTGTGAAGCACCCTTGCCCGGCCCGAGGCTAACACGCGCGCCAATTAAAAGTTTCCGATCGAGTCGTCAGTCGTCGGAGGTCATTATCAAGTTCACTATTTACGTTGAATAGTGATTGAGTCGCTTCCTTTTGTAGTCAGGTGAATATCTTCCCTCGAGGTCAAGGGTCAGATTATTAACGATATATTGCCCTTAGGTTAGTCCGTCCGGCAACCAGGAGGCCTGGTCGACGACCGGGCCGCGGGGACGCTAAGCCCCGGAAGCACCTCAAGGTAACCTCAAGGTAGGTCTGAAAATATAATAGTCAGCTTGTGTACAGTAGTATAAGGTAATATTCCACCCTTCCGCCTGTTTATACCTTGAGGTTACCTTGAGGTGCTTCCGGGGCTTAGTGTCCCCGCGGCCCGGTCGTCGACCAGGCCTGCTGGTTGCTGGTTGCTATATAGTACATTTTGTGACCAAGTGATCCATCGTATATAAATTGACGTAATGGACAATTAAATAGTAAAAAAATAATTGTCTTCAGTTTATATAATCCGGAAAAAAGCTGAAAACCAAACTTTAATATTTTTAGGCCTAGTATAGTATATATATGTACTATATTAGGCCTCGAATAGCGTGTATTAAGCCTACGATCGTTAGGTTGTGTTTCATTTACAACGTAAATACAAAACCTTGTTCTGTTTGTCAAAATTCAATAGTACAGAATTCTACTTTCTAATTGTCTATTATGTCAATATATGTACTATGGTGCACATAGCTATTATAACTACTATCTAAACAGGAGGAGGGCCTTAACAGCCCTCCAGTGATGGTAGGCCTAATGCAAGATAAAGCCTTAACAGCCCTCCAGTGATCGTAGGCCTAATGCAAGATAAAGCCTTAACAGCCCTCCAGTGATGGTAGGCCTAATGCAAGATAAAGCCTTAAGGTGTTGAGCTTTGCTTCAAGACGAAGCTTGGCCTGATCTCTAATTTGCTCCTTGGGTGGAAAGGTAGAGATTAAAATTGGAAAGGGAGTAATCTCCCACGGTGCGGGAAAGTACCGTTGTTGACTCTTGGTACAAATTATAAATCAGATACATTTCTGAGTTCAGTTCCAGTTTTAGTTATCCATTTGGAACAATGCTGACCTTCAATAGAGAAATTCTGGAGGGTTTCTGTGCAAGGGTTAGTATGAGTTAGCCTAAGCATTTTTTATACCAATTTAACAGTTAATTAATCCTGCCATGCCTTCTGGTCTCATGTGATGTTATTTCTGTGTGCAGGTTTGGGACCAGCCCCTCTACTATTTTCCATGTGTAAATTATTATATATCACTCTCGCCTGTGCTCAAGAAATACAGATTTAGGCACTTTAGTCTGTCCCAATAGTTTAGATGTTTTATTGAGTGGATTCTAGCAGTAAAGGATCTCTGCACGATCTCCAGGTCAACAACTTCTCCAGCTTTGAAAGGGGCTGTCATTGTGCAGCAGTACTCCACTCTAGAGAGCACTAGCATCTTGAAGAGTATCATCATTGGTAAAGCATCTCTTTGTTGAAAGATTCTTGTTGAGAATCTGTCAAAAACCTGTCATTTTTCTTGCAGTTGTGATGGCTACTGTATTGTGTTTTTAAGGTTTTTAAGGTTTTTAAGTCTTAGGCCTGAAGATTTACCCTAAATCAAATATGTTGTATGATTTGAAGTATATAAAAAGCTGTAGAAAATATGCTTAGCAGAATTTATTTGTCAAATATCACTATACAGTAATTTGATAAATGCTACTTTATTATTTTTCTGAAAAGAATTTTTAAAACCTACTGTATATATATTACATACAATGGGGCCTCGATTTACGATGGTAATCCGTTCCCAGAGACGGATCGTAAGTCGAAGCGATTTTTCCCATAAGAAATACAGTAAAGGGATTTGAATTAATCCGTTCCCCACCCTCCAAAATATTAACATACAAATACATTTTATACTGAATACAATGTTTTTTTCTAACTACAATACAGTACCAAAGTTTCTCTTACCTTTATGGAGGGCTCTTGATGGCGTATGGAAGATGGTGATGAGGGGGGGGGGGAGGAGGAGAGTTGTTACTGTTTGGAAGATGAGTCCCCTTCCATTATCACATCAGGCAGTGATGTTTTCTCTGGGGTACTCTCTCTCCTACGTTTTGCCTGAATACCACTAGGACCTGGTTGTGGTTCAGTGCTTGTTTGTCTCACTACAAATTTGTCAAGATTTCGACTTGACACAATCGACTTGAGAATGGTCCAGGACGGACCGAAACGTCGTCGTCCCTTCAATTTCTAGTGTGTGGTCTGGTCAACATACTTCAGCCACGTTATTGTGACTCATCGCCTGCATTGTCAAGAGACATTTGTTTTTCCCTTCTTTTTAACGTTAGTCGGTAATGATGCATCACAGTGTCATTGAATAGGTTAACGACATACTGCAGCTTGATTTGGGTGAGTCGTTTCAGCAAAAGTTTTTAATTTTTCCCATGCTGCACACATTTTCTTAATTGTTGAGGAAGAGACATTCTGTACACTTGTCTCTGCTCTATGGTCATCCTTACATGGGTTTTCATATGTTTATCCTTATCAATGACTTTCCTGGGACTCATGGCGTAATATATAATAATTACTTTAATGTTCCAAATGCAAAAAATCACCACAAACGCGAAATTTCTTATAAGCGCGATCGTCACTAAGCGGGCAGCTGTAGTAAACTGAGGCAGGTCGGCCGCGTGAACGGGAACCATGCGCTCATTCGACCCGAACGTGTACCAACAGATATCGGATGTCGAGTCACATTTTTCGATGAAATTTATATCGTAACTCGAAATTATCGTAAGTAGGGGCAATCGTATGTCGAGGTGCCACTGTACATGGATTCATTCAGCAAAAATAAAGAATTGGATGAAATGAATACTCAGTTTTACTTTTGTAGGAACAGCATATGCTAACCAAATTAACTGTACAAATTAAATGAAGTAGCCTGTCGGCCTGTCGGGGAGCCGGTCGGCCGAGCGGACAGCACGCTGGACTTGTGATCCTGTGGTCCTGGGTTTGATCCCAGGCGCCGGCGAGAAACAATGGGCAGAGTTTCTTTCACCCTATGCCCCTGTTACCTAGCAGTAAAATAGGTACCTGGGTGTTAGTCAGCTGTCACGGGCTGCTTCCTGGGGGTGGAGGCCTGGTCGAGGACCGGGCCGCGGGGACACTAAAAAAAACCCCGAAATCATCTCAAGATAACCTCAAGATAACCTACTTAACATGGATGTCTTTATCTTGTACAATATTCCTGTCTTTTACTTGTCATCTCCAAGAGTTTCCTGTTGGCCAGGAATATTGGTACTGTACAAGACTGGACACTTCTGACAAGTTGTTATAGATTTGGAGTTCTGCTTTGAGCTAGTCCACTTGCAGCAGGTTTCTCTCGTTTCTCCAGTCTGAGGTCATTATTAAAAAGCCTCGTTCTGTGTGGGCATTGCTGCATGGAATACAGAAGATATAAGCACATACCTTCAGATTTGTGAAAGGGACCTAAGATTTACTGAATATCTTAAGATAGTGTTTCTCACTGTGACCATCTATCATCTCGGGAGAGCATGTTGATAATTGGCTGCACAATCATCCCATACTCTTTAATAGGAGCGGCAGTAAAAAAAAAAAGCTAACCAAACCTTATGAATAATCAAGCGTACTTTTGGCTTTAAGGAAAGGAAGATAGTTATTGAATTGTATAAATCTCTGCTGTGTCCCCACCTGGATTATTGCATTCAGGCATGGAGACCTCGTCTTCAGAAAAACGTTGCTTCATTGGGAAAAGCTCAACACCGGGCAACAATATAATTCCAGAACTAAGTCAACTTTCATACCAGGAAAGGTTGAGGGCCATAGGGCTAACAACACTGCAAACCAGACATGATGCCTGGTTGATACCTGCTTGATGGGGTTCTGGGAGTTCTTCTACTGCCCAAGCCCGGCCCGAGGCCAGGCTTGACTTGTGAGAGTTTGGTCCACCAGGCTGTTGCTTGGAGCGGCCCGCAGGCCCACATATACCTGCTTGATGGGGTTCTGGGAGTTGTTCTACTGCCCAAGCCCGGCCCGAGGCCAGGCTTGACTTGTGAGAGCTTGGTCCACCAGGCTGTTGCTTGGAGCGGCCCGCAGGCCCACATATACCTGCTTGATGGGGTTCTGGGAGTTCTTCTACTGCCCAAGCCCGGCCCGAGGCCAGGCTTGACTTGTGAGAGCTTGGTCCACCAGGCTGTTGCTTGGAGCGGCCCGCAGGCCCACATATACCTGCTTGATGGGGTTCTGGGAGTTGTTCTACTGCCCAAGCCCGGCCCGAGGCCAGGCTTGACTTGTGAGAGCTTGGTCCACCAGGCTGTTGCTTGGAGCGGCCCGCAGGCCCACATATACCTGGTTGATGGGGTTCTGGGAGTTGTTCTACTCCCCAAGCCCGGCCCGAGGCCAGGCTTGACTTGTGAGAGTTTGGTCCACCAGGCTGTTGCTTGGAGCGGCCCGCAGGCCCACATATACCTGGTTGATGGGGTTCTGGGAGTTGTTCTACTGCCCAAGCCCGGCCCGAGGCCAGGCTTCACTTGTGAGAGTTTGGTCCACCAGGCTGTTGCTTGGAGCGGCCCGCAGGCCCACATATACCTGGTTGATGGGGTTCTGGGAGTTCTTCTACTGCCCAAGCCCGGCCCGAGGCCAGGCTTGACTTGTGAGAGTTTGGTCCACCAGGCTGTTGCTTGGAGCGGCCCGCAGGCCCACATATACCTGCTTGGTGGGGTTCTGGGAGTTCTGCTACTCCTCAAGCCCGGCCCGAGGCCAGGCTTGACTTGTGAGAGTTTGGTCCACCAGGCTGTTGCTTGGAGCGGCCCGCAGGCCCACATATACCTGCTTGATGAGGTTCTGGGAGTTCTTCTACTGCCCAAGCCCGGCCCGAGGCCAGGCTTGACTTGTGAGAGTTTGGTCCACCAGGCTGTTGCTTGGAGCGGCCCGCAGGCCCACATATACCTGCTTGATGAGGTTCTGGGAGTTCTTCTACTCCCCAAGCCCGGCCCGAGGCCAGGCTTGACTTGTGAGAGTTTGGTCCACCAGGCTGTTGCTTGGAGTGGCCCGCAGGCCCACATATACCTGCTTGATGAGGTTCTGGGAGTTCTTCTACTCCCCAAGCCCGGCCCGAAGCCAGGCTTGACTTGTGAGAGTTTCGTCCACCAGGCTGTTGCTTGGAGCGGACCGCAGGCCCACATACCCATCACAGCCCGGTTGGTCCGGCACTCCTTGAAGAAAACAATCTAGTTTTCTCTTGAAGATGTCTACGGTTGTTCCGGCAATATTTCTGATGCTTACTGGTAGGACGTTGAACAGCCGCGGGCCTCTGATGTTTATACACTGTTCTCTGATTGTGCCTATGGCACCTCTGCTCTTCACTGGTTCTCTTCTGCATTTTCTTCCATATCGTTCACTCCAGTACGTTGTTATTTTACTGTGTAGATTTGGTACCTGGCCTTCCAGTATTTTCTATGGGTATATTATTTGGTATCTCTCGCGTCTCCTTTCTAGTGAGTACATTTGGAGAGCTTTGAGACGATCCCAATAATTTAGGTGCTTTATCTCGTCTATGCGTGCCGTATATGTTCTTTGTATTCTTTCTATTTCAGCAATCTCTCCTGCTCTGAAGGGGGAAGTGAGTACTGAGTAGTACTCAAGATGGGACAGCACAAGTGATTTGAGGAGTACAACCATTGTGATGGGATCTCAGGAGTTGAAAGTTCTTGTAATCCATCCTATCATTTTTTCTGGCTGACGCAATACTTGCTTGGTTATGCTCCCTAAGTGTTAGGTCGTCGGACATTATTATTCCCAAATCATAGACATGCTGTTTTCCTACTATGGGCAGATTCGATTGTGTTTTGTACCCTGTATTATGTTTCTGATCCTCATTTTTGCCGCATTTGAGTACCTGGAATTTATCACCGTTAAACATCATGTTATTTTATGCTGCCCAATCGAAAACTTTGTTAATATCTGTTTGTAGTTTTTCAATGTCTTCAGCAGAGGTAATTTTCATACTGATTTTTGTATCATCTGCAAAGGATGACACAAAGCTGTGACTTGTATTTTTGTCTATATCAGATATGAGAATAAGGAACAGCAGTGGTGCAAGGACTGTACCTTGAGGTACAGAGCTTTTAACTGCGCTCGGACTCGATTTTACTTGATTGACTGTTACTCTTTGTGTTCTATTCGTCAGGAAATTGAGTATCCAGCATCCTACTTTACCAGTTATACCCATTGACCTCATTTTGTGTGCAATCACTCCATGGTCACATTTGTCGAATGTCTTTGCAAAGTCTGTGTATACAACATCTGCTTTCTGTTTTTCTTCTAATACCTCAGTGATTTGTCATAGTGGTCATGTAGCTGTGAGAGGCATGATCTTCCTGCTCTAAATCCATGTTGGCCTGGATTGTGGAGGTCATTGGTTGGAGGTCATTGGATTGTGGAGACATTGATAGGGCTGATGTCATTGAAATGTTCAAAAAACTGTACTGAACAATTTGGAGGATGTTGATACAGACAACTTCTTTAAAAGGTCAGATGTAAGACAAACAAGGAACAACAGTTTCAACCTTAAGAAGCCACAATGTAGGACTGAAAACAGGAGATGCTTTTCCACCCCACAGAGTTATAAACCTATGGAACTGCCTACCTGCCAAAGCTGTAAAGGCCAAAACTCTGTTGAACTTAAAAATCCAGCAGGAAAAAAATCATCAGGATACATGGGGGAACCTTTAACAAGCCGCCAGCTTCCTGTCCTCATCAAGGCCATTAGAGTGTTAGTGGCCCCTTGGATAAATTCAGAAAAATCTAATTAATCTATGTAAATATAGTATCTTGAAGGTTACAGGCCTTGACTGCATCAGACTTCTCCAAAAGGTATGGCACTGGTTAGGCTCAGTTTTGATGTACAATACTTTGTTATGAAAGTTGCTTTTAGAAAAGTCATACAGTGCTACCTCCATTTGTGAATTTAATCCACTCCCAGAGATGGGTCATAATTTGAAAATTTGTAGCTCAAAACAAATTTTCCCATAAGAAATGTCAATTTATTTAATCCGTTCCACACTCCTAAAAATATTAACTTCAAAATACATTTCATCCATAATACACACACACATTTTGTACTATAGTACTGTATGTACAAGTTGTAGCTTGTTTATTGATGACTTGTTGGCGTATGAAAGACAGTGAGGAAGGAGGGGAAAGGAGGAGAGGTGTTACTGTTTGGAAGAGGAGTCCCCTTCCATTATAACATCAGGTATTGATGACTTCTCTGGGGTACTCTCTCTCTCCTATGCTTTGCCTGCATACCACTAGGACCCGGTTGTGGCTCACTGCTCGTTTTTCTCACTAACAACCTTTCCATAGAAACTTGTTTTTCCCTACGTTTTAACATTTGTCTGTAGTGAGGCATCACAGTGTCATTGAAAAGGTTAAGGCAACGGCCTACTGCAGCTTGATTTAGGCGAGTCATTTCAGCAAAAGTTTGCATTTCTTCCTATACTGCACACGACTTCTTAATTTATTCTATAGTCATCCTCACATGTGT